AAACCTTTTCTGGGCACAAGACGCACGCTTCCGAAAACTTCTTCTGGTGGTTCGAAAAAATAAAAAATGTTCCGACGCTGTTTTTTGTAACGGAGCGAGACGTCCTGGTTACACTTAGCAATGACACAGTGGAACATCATCTGCATCATACGTGTAGCAGCACTGGAAAACAGTGACCAACTGTACAAAGTGGCCCTGCCTTATGAAGATGTCTTCCAGGGACTGGGCCGAATAAAGGAGTGCTGTAACACATGAAACACAAGCCTGGAACAGAAGGGGTCGTCAAGCTAGCAAAAAGAGTTCTAGTCGCCCTTGAGGACAAAGCGAAGGCTGAGCTCGAACAAATGGAAGCTGATAAAGTCGTCGTCAAGGTACCTGAACTGACTGAATGGGAAAGTTACATGGTCGTCACCAAAAAAGAAAAAGTAAGAATATGCCAGGACCCATCGGACTTAAAGGGGTACGGAAACGAAATTCTAGCGCCAATCTTTCTGCATAAATATGGGCTAAGGACAAGCACCACCTCGGAAATATCAATATTGCATTGTAAAACACAGGAGAACTAATTTTAAACCTAATTAAACGATTTCAAATTCACATCTGGTGGATGGTGGGAAGTTCTCGTGACATCACTTGTGGCATAGGAGCAGCGCCGTTCTGCGGCAATACGGCGTGCCGGCAGAATTAGCCAAGGCCTGAACGCGTTTGCAAAGCCTTGGCGGAGAGAGCCAAAGCGTAGTTGGCCACAGTGAGCTCGTTTTTGTTGCGGCTCTTTTGCACGACACGACCCGAGCATGCTTCTGGCACGGCCGGTATTAGTTGCTGCGAGTCGAGCTGCGAGCCGACGTTAAAAAAGATATGTTTGAACTACGAGAGTGTCAGCAAGAGCCACGCAAATACCTGTTCACACTCGGAGCGGACACGCGCGTTTGATCGAAGTGCTGGATTCGCTCTGTTAGACCGCGTTTCGGTAAGCGCTTCTGGACCGATCTTTTACGATTGCAACTCGATACTGACATGACACTCGGCAAAGAAAGGTTGGACCGAGCGTCGTGTCAGAATAAAAATGGCATACGAATAACAAAGTGTACATACCATGTTGCGAAGGTAATCCGTATGGCGTTTATTTGAGCTCTATATCACTCAAAACAAGGAGATAGAATCAATGAGAGTCCCTTTTCGACGACAGCGTTCGTCACCGCTGCCTCAGAAAACAAGGAGATCGAGATGACAAGGGGAAAAGATTGACCTCTGAAATTTAGTTCAGGGATCAGACTATTCATCCGGGAAGGGTCCACAAGGGTCACGCGGGCATATTCCATTCAGCAGGCCAGCCAATCATGAGCAGACGGTCTTGGCCAAGGATCGCCGGAGCAACGGTGCACCGAGTCGGTGTTGCTGCTATACTTCGTTTAACCTTATGTGCGAGCGAAGGCAAAGCTGGAAGCGCGAGCACGAAAGCTCCGCGCGTTCAGGCTTTGCTCGAGCGCGCGAGCTGGGCAGAAACGCAAAAAGCGCTGCTCTCGCGCTTTTAGCTTTGCCTTCGCTCGCAGATAAGGTGAACCGAAGTATAGGCCTACTATCTTCTGCCGAGTTCGCTTGGTCGGTAGAATCGTGGCCGTCGTAGCTCTTCTCGGGTGTTTGTGGATCCTGCGTTCTTGATCGTCGTGGTCTGTTTCAAGTACTCCTTCCTTTTTTCTTGCTGGTTGAAGTCGGGACGCACGAGAAGAGCACTTAGAAAAATAAATGTCCGTTGGTCGTCGCTACCAAGTAACTGAGCGACGCTGTCGGCCATGTTGATTTGATCGTAAAAAGTGCGTAAGACAGCTGCCGAGCTGTCGTAGGATTCTGTCATAACCTGCACAAAAGTTACGACAATTTCGTTTCGAGAATATGGGTTTTCTCTCAAATTTTTCGTACACACTTTTTTCGTCGTAAGTTCGCTTTGAGAATCCGGCCTCAGAGCTGGTTTTGTCAGTGGTGCCGTGGTTGCCGTGGTTGCCGACTTGCCGTGGTGCAGCGTGCGTGCAGCCCTTGCACATCTCAAACGGCCACGTTGTCACAGGTCGTAAATCGTCGACTCGCCACCAAGTGGCAACGCTCGTAACCACAACAGCCACGCCGTAGCCTTTCCCGTCTGGCACAAGTGACGTCACGAATGCGCCCAATATCCCAAGATGCATCGCGCTCTCTGATGGCTGATTTTTCAGCGCACGCTCAATCGGGCCCCTCAGGGTGAAAAATATAGCCATCCGTTCAAAATACAAACGCGCGATTATGATTTACGGATATCATTGATCATATTAAACCTATTTCTGACCATAACGGATGTATTTCAAGTTTCGCTTCAGTATCCCTTTAAACCAAGCCCTCGTCAGAGTACACTATCCAATGCAAACGTTGGAAGATGTCGCGCTTGGCACATCAAGTTGGACAAAGAAAGTTCTCTTATCTGTACCATGAACACCCCGTACTGCAGAAACCAGTTTTTGCGCATGCCTCTTGGCATATCAACCGCACTGGAAATCTTTCAACGGGCCATGCACAAAGCACTGGATAGACTATAAGCGGTCTTCGTTGTCATGGATGACCTTGTTGTATGGGAACGAACCAAGGAGGAGCGCAATTAAAATTTGAGAATGGTACTGGAGTGTTGTAACAACCAGAATCTGAAGCTCAACAAGTGCCAGTTTTTGCAGGAACAAGGTGGATACCTAGGACACATCCTCACAAACAAAGGACTCAACTTGGATCCTAAGAGACTTCAAGAAATCCTGGAAATACCGGAGCCAAAAGACAGTAAGCATCTACAAATTTTTCTTGGAAAGGTTCATTTCGCTGCACGATTTATACCAAACATGTCAACAGCACTGCACCGCAACGAGAGTTGCTAAGAAAAGATGTCGCCTTTGTTTGGACTGAACAGCACCAAACAGCTTTTGAAACACTGCGCAACTGTCTCACCAAGGCTTGTGCTGACAAATTTCCAGAAAAACGAACCTGTCACGCTTTCAGTAGATGCCAGTCAGACAGGTGTAGGGTCAGTGAGTCTACAAAATGGACAGCGAGTAGCATATTAGTCACATTCCCTAACAGAAACCGAGCAGCCATACGCACAGATGGAAAAAGAGATGCTTGCTAAAAAAATCTTTCAGCCTTTCCACTCTGGTGAAGAAAGAGCAGCGGAGCTGTACTATGTGCCGCCGTCACTCATAGATGGCGGTAGCTGTCCAGAGGGTTGTGTCCAGATTTATTTGTCCACGGACATAAAACTGGGGAAACTAGCCCTTAACAGCTCCGCTGTAAAAAAAAACATGTAATATGGATCCACCGTGCTTCAATCTGGGCTGTCCTAGTTTGACGTCCTGGCTGCTTTCGGTCGCTAGGCCTAGGCCAACGTTACTAGATTAGCTCAGTTACGGAACTGCCCATAGACGCTGCTTGCATGAGCAGTACGCCCTTCTGCCCCTAAGGCTTGCCTCCCGTCATTTGATGCACCACCAGTTTATGATGGCTGCTATGGTAACTGCAAAGTATTCCATGGAATGCATATGTTTTGACGCACAGCATCTAGATGGCCTCTGACCGTACTCTATGGAATGCGCAGTATTGCAACGAAAATCTAGATGGCGCTTCATAGGACTGGACGCGGACTGAAGTGAGTGAGGGGTAGACCGCTCCGCGGCAGTTCCACAACTGACCTAATTTATAGTAACGTTGGTAATGTTGGCTTCAAAAACTAGACGGAAAGTAATGCACATAAAACTCTTCATTACAACCACCAGCTGCACGGTTATGGCAATCTGCGAACAGCCGCGATAAGCTAGGCTATGCAAAGCCCCATTGTGCGTCACAAACATCAAACTGTCACGCTCGCTGGCAACTGGAGCGCCAGTCAACGTTTCAGTTTATGTACTATGCGGGTGGCTGTCACGAATTTTATGCTGCCACAGATAGCATCACAGTCGACACAAGCATCGGCGTAGCCGGTCGTCGGATGTTCGGCGCCACTACTTCCAAGTTAAACGGCTCACACAGGATGGTTTGTCTGGTTCGTTCCACACGGCTGTGAATTACACAGCACTTGTAGTGCTGACGCGGCTTTTGAATGGTACGAAAAACGCGGTAAGAACCGGTGATCGCGCGCTCGGGTTAATCACGTTCAAATGCGAAAGCGATCTACACTACGTTTTTAGAAGCTAAACGAGCGTTCTTCATGTCAAGAACTTACACGTCAGCCATCCTCGGTCCAGCAGACTCCCAGCATAATCAACATAAACGGTCCTCTGGATTGCTGTCAAAAGCCAAGAGGCCAAGAGACACCGTTGACGCCGTCCTACGATCTACGGTTCAACGCCTTCAAAAGTAAATACGAAAAAGAAATGAAAGCATCTGGACGCCGCACCACCCTAGCGGTGGTGGCATGAATCTGGCACTTTCGATACTTTCAATACTTTCAACTTCTTCAGCACGACGCAGAAAAAAAAAACAAAAAAAAACAGTAGTGTGAAGCGCAATCAGGTGAGTTTGTACTATTTAAAATGAGGGTGCCGCAGTTTGTTTCAGCGGTCGTTGACACTTGCTGAAACATGACTACACACACATTTTCCAATGCATCCCTTAGGCCCCTTAGGCCTCAGGTGAAAAAAAAAACAAAAAAATATGAACAAGCAGTGGCAGAAGTTCAGGCGCATTCCCGGAGCAGCAGATCTCGGAAAACTGCGGAAACCATTATTTCATCAAACAAATTCACCACATTAATTTTAGTTGGCGCTACACGCCGTCTAAATGTCTTTTATGCGATTTGATTGCTCTCCATAGAGATTTATTCAAAATAATCAAAATAATGCACAGTCAGAGCAGATGTTTATCAATTTTGATATTTCAAGCATAAAATTTATTTAATATGACTTTTATTTTACTACAACCCATAAGAAAACATGCCCTGATTTGGTAACTTTTATGCGGCACTTTACTCTACGACTTCACTGCGGAGCTTATCGATCAACAAAAATGGCGACGAAAGCCAGTAATGCCCTTGATACGAGAGCGGAGCTCGCTGAACTCGTCAAGCGAAAAGCTGAAATTGCGGTAGGTTTGTCTCCATCCAATCGAGAAGTCACTAATGTCTCCCTTGAGGCACGTTTCAGTGTTCTGCAGATCAGCTTGGTGCTTGTTTCGAGCTGAAACAGGCAGCCATCAAAATGGCGGGACTTCAATTTGAGCCCTGCATGCTCGCAACCCGCGACGCCAAAGTGCACGTGCATTTGTTTACATTTGAGTTCAGGTTCCCTACCGCTAAACAGGCACTCGCATTCTTTGAAGGTGAAGGTTTAAGGTGTGAAGTAATATATTTTAATGTTCTGTTCTCCTTTTACAACACGAAACTCGACTCTTCTACAATGCTCTCTGATCGGCGAGTGTTGGTTACTTTCACGTCTTGCGTCCAGTTGCGAAACTGATCTTAAGATGATGGGTCTTCGACATGTGAAATGCCACCTGAGTTTAAACCACCTTCTTGTGTAAGAAACACATCGAATACCGTAGAAATTAATTCGATGTTGGCCTGCCACCGTAGTTTGTCTCTATCTCTTCAACTTAAGTTTCTACGTTTCTTAGATTATGCTTGTAAGTTACTAGCGTCTGTTTCTGGGCTCCTATATGAATGTGCTCTCGTGCTAACAACAAGTGATGTATATTTTGAACTGTTGTTCAGTGCATTATTTGTGTAGCAACTGAAAAGCATTGTTATGGCTAAGCCTCACAGTCTGCGCGTGTTGCTTTGACTTGGGCTGCAGGAGACTTTGGCCAACCTGGAACGTCAGATCTATGCCTTCGAAGGCAGCTACTTGGAGGACACACAGCTCTATGGCAACATCATCAGAGGCTGGGACAGGTATCTCGCCCCAAACAAGTAAGTGACCCCTGCTTGCGTATGCAATACATGCTTTGCACGTGACATCATATGACACCATACCAACCGCCACTGGTTCGTACCATGCTCCTGTGCCCAAACTTTCTGTAGCAAATATTTGGCACCATGGAATTTGTTCTTCACGGCAAGCCTCGACGAGAAGAAAAATGTTGGTAGTGTGAAATGTATGCTGCAGAAGGTATGGGAACAGGAGGATGGTGCGGAGCAGTGGCGGCTGATGTGACGTCAATGGAAGCTATGTATAAATAGCTAAGGCAGTCCAACCTGTGATGTTATCCTATGAGGGGTAGCTAAAACTACCTGTTCCTCACCATCTATCACAGAAAGGGGCCCTGTTTCAAGCTTCGTTGCTAATTGATGCTGTTGTACTTTTTGGAGCTTTCACGAGTGCTATCATGTATACATGCCTTTTTGCACCCACATTAGATGAGAACGTTGAACACCTGCAACCACCATGCTGGTGGTTGAGTTGACAGTCGTTTGCAACAAGAGCCATGGTAAACCGCACCGCGTTAGGCTGTAGCGCCTTCGAAGGCTGCTACCCTGAGGACACACAGCTCTAGGGCAACATCATCAGAGGCTGGGATGAAACGATCTCAACGATTGTTTCATCGGCATGCCCTGCAATAGAGTAGCCGTCAAGTTATAGAAGGTACAAGTGGCAGGGAAGGGCTGCAGCCGCACATTGCCGAGTTTGCAGGACACATTTTGTAGTAGCGGGTGACGGCACTTTGCATCTACCTTTGCTCGTTTGTGATGTGGATGCCCTTTGCTTTTCACTTCATCCTACCGTGTCCATGCTTCGAGTGCACGGGTGGACCTCCCTTGCCGAGTATGGGTGAGCGTGTCGCGCCGCAAATTTCCGGGCTGCAATCGTTCAGCGGGGGAGGCCAAGTTTACTCTTGCCAAAACACCGCCACCAGGGCAGTGGCCTACGCCCTCCACAACACTGTAACCCTTGTGTTGTTTAGCAGTGATATGCAAAATCGGAACGGCCTCGCTACTTGGAAAAGGCTATCAATTGAGGCTCCTAGAGCCGCTCCTCAGAGAATAGCAAGATTTCAGCGAGTTGCACGCCTTGAACCACGTAATGGGGTTTGTTTTGCCAATACAACAGCCCTTCACATCAAAATCTTGCTTTTTTCAGAATATGAATACTTTCTACTCGTAGCACGATCACGCTCATGGTGAAAAATACCGTACATATTGGCTGAATGTCATCATTGAAAGCTCAGCATTTGGTTTTAAGCTCACATGTAGAAGACTAGGTACTTTTCGTATAGATCCGATGCATGTCAGTGCATGTCTAATCTGTGAGAGGCATCTTACACTATGGTAACTGCGTGCGCACGGTGCAAAGTCAACCACCAGTATAGCTCAGGGCCCCGTCCTCCTCTAGCATGATGTCACGTGCAAGCTATGTATAGTCTCGTTATGAGAGGTGGGTATCAGTTTCTAAAATTGTAGGTTATTAATATCTGTTTTTGGCTATTTATGTGCATTTATGACTATTGTATTCTCCGGTGTTAAACTTTTAAACTTATATTTATTTTCTTTTAAAATTTTTGTTGGTGCATCTTATACAAAGGTGCAACTTATTTTCCTTTTTTTTTTTAAGTATGTAATGGTAACTGACAATGTACCGTGTGGGTTATACAGTCGACTCTCATTAGTTCAAACTCCAGGAAGCTACAGCCTTTAGTTTGAAATATCAGAAGTCTGAATTATCAGAAATCCATCCAAATATGATGTGAGGCAAAGTAGCAGTTTGCTATAGGAGTAGCTACACATACTAAGCAGATTTTTTTTACTTTCTTCTACACAGGCCTATTTATAAGCAGGCGCACACATAAAACATTGGTGAAATTCAAAGCAAATAGTGGTTTTGGTAGAAGATTTTCTAATTGATTATTGAATAGTTTCTCCGAGCCTTTTACTATTGTTGTACCTTGCTAGAGTTACAGTTACAAAATTAAAAGAGAGACCTGGTACAGTCAGAGTTATCTCGGTAAAGTACGGCCGTTACTTTGTCGTTACTTTGCAAAAAAAAAAAAATATTAGAAAACATTCAAAAGGAACTTTTCTTAATAGGCCTTTAAATTAGCATAGATTTTTCAGGAGACATTGTGTGGTTCACGGTAGTGAATCAGATTTTTTTAGAAACTAAGATGTTCTCTGTAGTCAATATAACATGTTTGGTTCTTCCTATTTTAATCGTTGCCATAAATAGATCCTTAACCAAGACCATAATTCAAGACAGTATTGGATAAATACACTATATATGATTAAAGCACTTTTTCATAGTTTCTCCTTGGGCAAAATTACAGGCAATTTTAGCTTTTTAAAATTTTAGGCTAGCAGGTACCTGCTGGTGATCCATGAAGAACTTTAAAATAGGCGCGACCATCATAAGATATCCACAAATACAACAGTGCACGTCTAGATCTTGGGTATATGCAATCATGGTGTGAGTTTACAATCGGTCGATTCTTATTTTGAATTTCTTTTGTGGGGCGAAATAGGACGGAAGCAAAAAAATTGTGCAAGTGTGAAGTCAATAATGATGTAAGTCATACCTTGCAATCAGCTTTGTAGATGTTTTCTTATGCCACTCCAATCCACTCGTCGGCTGAATCGTTTTCTACTGCGTGCGCACAATCTTTCATGAAACATGAAGCTTCTCTGGAAAACTTGGAGAGGAATGTTGCGGCAACATTCCTTTGTCAAACCCGCTGAACACGACAGCGGTTCAAGGAAGTACTCATCGAGGTACGAACGACCACTGCATGTAGTATTTCAAATGGTTGTTATAATTTTTTTTCTGCCACTTCGATCCTAACCAGATTGGACACGTTTGCACTCCGCCATCTCACCACCTTAGCTAGAAGAGACCACCCGGAAAGCCCACGACGTGACTATAAATCAACTGATGCCAAGTGCCCCTGGTCCCGGCTAAGGGCAATGTTTTAATCTTAAGAAAATGCACAAACAAGCAGAACAACACAGACGTTTTGAGCAAATACCCTTTTTGAAGTGACAGGGCCCAAGATGCAGAGCAAGGGGGGGGGACCTTGACATCTCCAAAAAAACATGCGTTCTCCCACTGAGCCCAGGAAGGCAAGGTGAGGGGAGGGGAACCACCGAGCAAGGTGCCGAAAAACACTTCTCGCATGCGTCTGAGAATTCGAGGATGGGGGAAGACTTCGGGAAGCCAGGCGGCCGCTCACGTCGACAGGGTCTCCCTTCCCGACCTCCGTATACTATCCTTGCCGTTTTATGTGACTGTTCTCCAGACTGTTTCTGCAGAATTTTTTGCTGTGCCCGTCCCATATCAGGACTTGGGACTCTCTCACGTATTGCGAGACGATTTGGTGGTCATGTTTGCAATATTTTGGCACATAAATCGAGAAGTGACTGTAACGCCGTTACAGTTATTTGAAAAATAGTACTGAAAAACATAACTAGTTACCGGTGAAGTGTTACTAGGGAGTAGTTACTGTCCAAGACTGCTCGCAACACAGCCTGCACGACGCTGTCCGCTAGGCTGTTGCTTTTCCTTGGGAAGCCCATCTCCTTCTTTCATTGTGACTGGGGTGATTTCCAAGTTTTTGGGTCACATACCTTGGAGTTTGGGAAATCCTACGCTTGTGTCTCGTTTCATTTGCCCCTGTAAACCCATTTCTTGTCCTGCACTGAAAATTTACTCCGAAGAACGCCGAACCTCTGGGGAAAAATGAACCCCGAAAAGACAAAACCCCAATCATTGTGTGCTTACTCTCCATCTGTGTTTCCTTTGTTGTCTTCATGAAGCCGAACTCCGCAGTTTTTGATGCATTCTCGAGTGGGAAGCAGACGTGTGGGTTTCCAGGACTCTTTGTCCAGCAGCTGCCTCTTGAGTGTCTGAACCCTTTGTTGCATTAGCATTGGAAGTTTGAACAATTTAAATAAGTGCCATGCAATGAAACATAGAATGTGATACAGTTGGCATAGACATTGCAATAGCAGGTTACTCACTGTTTCTTTTTATTTGGTATAATTGAAAAGTTATTGAGATCACTAGTGTGATCAAATGAGCTACTCGTGTGAATTGATCTTAGTAATAAATATTAGTGTTCATTGCTGCCGTGTCTAACAAAAACAAAACAAAAAACGATCAAACCAATTATATAATTATGAATATGATTCCTTTAAATATTTTTTCTTTCCTAGAACAGTAATTGACTAGAACAACCTGCCAGCTAATGTCGTTAATGCAGCCACCTATTCTGACTTTTGCGACGTTTTGTGTAAAGGAGTGCACCATGGAGTATTTGTATCTATGTGTTTTCCACTCCTGCTACAACCTCGAAAGAGGTTAGCAGTAGTAATAAACAAAAAACAAAACAAACAGAAAGCCGACATTGTTTTACATAAACTCCGTCGTGCAGCATTTGCTGGTGCAGCGATAGATGGTGGCATAAAGTGATGATTTAAAGAAGTCTCTTCTTTGGAACTGTTGTGCAGGAACACAAACAGCAAGGCAGACAAACGAAACAGGAAGTTCAAGGAGGCTGAGCGGCTGTTTTCCAAATCTTCAATCACGTCCATATCTGTAAGCAGACTTTTTTTAGTAAATATTTTCTTATGACATCTAATGCTGCGGCACGTTTACGCTTAAAGGCCAATGTGCAAGCAGCTACTTCTGCCCGGTAGGATAACCGTTCCCCAGTTTCCTTCTCATTCTCTCCTTCCCGGAATGGAATATATAAATTTAAGGGAAACCGAATGTGCATGGGTGCTTTCATCTCAACTCAAGCACGGGCTAAAAATCAAATTTTTAATTTTGAGAAACAAAACAAAAAATGTATTAGGAGCATTTTTTGAATGAAAGGGTGCAAACAGCAAGCTTGGGCTATTTTTTGTTTTCAGGTTACTGTTGGCCATAGAAGCGGCCGAGGCAGAGGTGGATTTAGCATTTCGTTGCCCTAAGCAGCCTTTAACAGTGCCCCCAACCCCAGCTCCCCATGGTCAATGACTATGGGGAGTAGAGGTTAGGGGGGGGAGGGGGGGGGACAAATAACTACATTTGGAATTAAAATTTTAAAAACTAGCTAGATTTTGAGCTAGAATTCTCGAAATAGCTAAATTTAGAGCTAAATTAAAAAAAAGCTTTGTTTTAAAAATTAAAAAAAATTAGCTAACAAAGCAAGTTTTGCGCATTGTTCATACATGGTGCGAAGCAGTTCTTAAGAGATTCGGTTATTGAAGGAAAAAGCGATGCCTTTGGCATTTGGAACGTGTATGTCTTGATAAGATAACAAATATATAATCCAACATTCACCTGCATATGTCTTAATTATCAACATAAAGGGGGAAATTCGGAATGCTCCGCGAGCAGCCGGACTTGTTTTGCTACGGTCCTTGAGGTGAAAACAGGTATAGAATTCCCAAAATAGCTAAGTTCGAAGCTTAATTTTAAAAAATTATCATAAAAATAAAGTAAAAAAATTTGGGGCAGCCATGAATTGGCTGCCTTCAAAATTCTGCCACCCTATGCATCTGCCTACTTTCTTTATTAGTAAGTCCTTCCCTGTGTCTTGGGGATAGCGTGTTGGACTTATTGCTATTTTGTCACTTCTCGGTGTATTTTGTGACTCTCAAAATAGATTTCGTTGTATTTGGGAATAATTTCTTCAAAAAGTGTCGCACTGTTTGACAATCTTGGGCAAACTTTGGCAAGTTCTTATGTGTGTCCTGTTCAACATATTTTAACGACCTCGACATCTCCAAAAAGGTCAAATTTAGCTATTTGCATTGAATACAAATCCAATATTATATGTACAAAATTAAACCAGTTACATGCATTTGAATGAACGAGTGTCTAAAAAATCCTAGCAAAGTTGGGATCGACTTTCTCAGAAGCCCCGTTTCCTTTTTGTTAGAACTAATTTTTTTCAATTCGTTAAACATAATGAAACCTGTTTCAAGGGTGTTACAAAAGGTTCCCAGTGCAGTAATTTGAGAAGTGACAAAATAGAGAGTGGTCAAACATACAATCCCTAACAAATGGGAAAAACGTCGGTTTTTACCTAGGCTGCCTCAGTGGTCAATAACTTGAAAATGAAAACTCAGCCAAGCTTGCCGTTTGCGCTTTCTTTTATTTCAAGAACGCTCCCAAAACATATATTGTTTTAACATCAACCTCAAAACTGTGCTTGAATTGAGATGAAAACACCCATATACCAGGCTTGGAGAGTGAAACAGGCCATGTGACTTTTGGAGTCTTTAGTGTCAGGTATCTCCGTCCTGCTCCCCTGATGTTGGCTTAGTTTCAGCTTGTATTTCACGGCTTCAGCAAAGCCTTATTTGGGTGTGATGTTTTCACTACATGTTCTAGTGTTTTGCACAAAGAAAAGAAAAAGAGGCCGCATCTCCATATGGTGAATGATGTTGATTGGGGTGAAGCTCTGGTGGTGCTGATGATACTGATTTTATTGTTCATAGGCAGTGCTGATGGTGCTGATTTTTTTTATTGCTTATAGGTAGAGCTGAGTTCCGGGTTGCGCTTCGACTTCATTATTACTGCTTTATGGTCGATGAAATGCGGAGCCAGTGGTTCTTCTAGCGGATCAGCTGGGATCCACTAGAAGCTGTAGGAACGCATCTCCACCGCTTAAAGGGATACTACAACGAAATTTCGGCGCTCATTTTTCGGTCTATATGTGTTCAAAAAAGCGGCATCACATCGGACATACCAATATCTTGTTAAAAAAGTCACGAAAAGGAATTTTAAAACGAATTAAACGATTAGCAAAGAGCACCTGGTGGATGTCGCTAACGCCTCGCTTGTAATGCCCGTCTAGGAACCTTGACAGCTAGTGACGGAGGTTGTCTCGTCTCCGGCCACGACGAGAGAAGAGGGGCAGGAGGAACTCCCCTCTTCCCGAGAATGCCTTTTTGTGTGTTGCAGAAGTCGCTATTGTCCCCCTACAAGATTACAGAAGATTAACCCATCACTCAAAATTCGTACAAAAGCAGCCGCTTCGGTGGCTGGAACGACTAGGCCATCCTCTCGACGTCAGCCTCGCCGTAGCTTTGCTCGTCTTGAGACGACCTACGTCACGATTGCGTTGGATGTCACGTGGTCTCCGCTGGGCCTTCTCCGAGCGCTTGCCAGAGGGGGCCGTTTATAACGAAAAATACAGCCACCAGGCTCAAAATACAAACGTGCGATTGTCATTTACGGATATTGTGGATCATATTCAACCTATTTTTGAACACGGCGGGAATATTTCAAATTTCGTTGAAGTATCCCTTTAAGTCAACCGTCTATGTCAGAAAAAGAATTTTGGTATGGATCGTGGTTATATGCGCAGTTGAGCATTTGACCGCAGCGCCCTCTCGTCTATAAATGTTGAGCCAATGCATGCAAAGTTTAATGTGATTATATACGCATTTGACCGCAGTGCCTTCTTTTGTATAGACGTTGAGCGGCTACATACAACATTGGAGTGTAGCGTAGTGGTTAAGACGTCTGCCTCGTAAGCAAGCGATCCTGAGTTTGCGGGCGTATGTTTTTTTTTTTTTCTAAAGTGGGCCGATCCCGGAGGCAGTGCAATCGATGTGAGCACGAACGCCAGACAAGGCTAGACCCTAAGGAGCTTTGCCCCTAATACAGAGCATTCTGGTAGTTGTCGGTGGTCCTTGTGATGTGATGAAAATGAAAGCTACCGCAATAACCTGAGAGATGCCCCACCTTCGAAGGGCAACCCACCCCCTATTTTTGGCACGATTTGCCATTTATTTCATAAAACACCAAAAGGTAGCCCACCTCTACAAATTACAGGGCACTGATCAATGGTGACCTCAACAGAAATGATGTTACTTAGCCACGGCGGGAGATAAACAAACATTGCTGACTGGGAAGAACAGGCGTCTTTGGTTCATCGCCCCTCCGTGCAGTCACAAATTTTGCAGGTTACAGAATCTAGACCTAGCATTTTTTTCATATTTCCTCGATCGCACATCGAAAGTTAGCCCACTTCTTAATTTCACCCAATTTCCTTTGTGATTTTAGGTGGGCTATCTTTCAAGATATTATGGTAATTCTCCTAAATATGTTTCCTTTGAAGTGCTGTTTCGTTTGTGTATGGGTGTTGGTGAGTTAAGCGGACCTGCAGGTTCTTTTGCTCAATGGCAATACAATTATGGAGGCTAACAGTCCGCATTTTTATTTACTTACAGGCGGTAAGCGGCATCATAGAGAAGGACGACAGAGGTGAGTTTTCTTCGTTCAGCTTCAAGGATTTCGTGTAATTTCTTTGTTTGTCCCCTATTTTCAATATCTATAAACTTGTCTGTACTCTCGTCATTTCTCTTAGGGTCATGTGCAGTTTCAAAAGGGCAACTCCGGTAAATTTTTCCTAATTGAAACAATCATCTGGAGTTTAGTGTCACCTTCAAAGACGATTGTACAAGTATTATGACGTGGGTATCTCTAAAGGGTCATTAATCTGTGCACAAAAGTTCTTCATGGACTGCCCACGCCACATACGCATTGAAGTCGGTACGCGTTGAAGTCGGAGTGCTGCGGTTGCGCTGGGTTGACAGTATGAACCGCTTTGTTATTAAGTGTTAAAATAGTTGTGCATTGTGTCTGGCGGGGACAAAGTTTAATAGTTTTTAAGCTCGCCATTGTTTCGTCAGGTAACAACAATGATGAACCCGTGTCGTACTATGCAAGAAATTTGATTTCCCGATCATGTTTGTCACTGTATCGTCACGGTACATATTCTACAGCGCCGCTTCGTGCGCTGTGTTTGATTTTGTGCCAGTAATGCCTATAAACTATGTCAGCAGTGACGGGACAAACTGAAATACCATTCGACACTCGTCGGTATGCAGTGCTTATTTCGTTAGAGAGATAGGCTCCAAAAACATTTCATCCCCCATCATATGTGTCAATAATATTTCCGGACCAGTGTTTGGAGGCAGTCTGTACTTGCTAAAGAAAGATTCGGATGGTACGCAAATTGAGAAATGGGAATGTAAGGAAAAGTATGATGAAACTTGGAATCACTTGGCAATCAACTTTTGAGTTTGGCAGATTATGTTTGCTTTCTTATTTGATCAGCCTCCTTTGGACATGGAAATCGCCTCTCTTCACATATGGGGCTGCCGGTAGGCAGTAGATTACTGCAAAATGAAATGCCGGAATTGTTTTTGATCAAATTAATTAATGCAAGATAACTGGTATGTCTCAATCAATAAAGAAAGGAATCATAATTTGCAAAAAAAAATTAAATCATTCATTTTTTTAAATTTATATCAAGTATAAATCGGATATCTATATATTATTTCAATCACTTTACCTAAAAAAAGAAATTTGTTTTTTAACAAATTAACTTTTTTTAGTAATAAGTTAAAAAACAAATTACTTACAAAATTTTCCATGCCCTTTTTAAGCACGGGAAATCAATTCTGCAATTTGTCCAATCACTGAGCAGTGTAAAAGAAAATTCCACAATTTAATTATATTGTAAAGTGCAGTGAAATTAAAATATTTTTTCTTGATGTAAACCATGTTATAGTAGAAGAAAAGGAGCACAATTTGTTTGGTTATTAAGAAAGCTTCATTTGCTGTAATACTTCAGCAAAACAAGATAAGAATAATTTCAAAGTTTATGTGAAAACCCAGAGGAACTGAATAATGGTTAAGAGTTGAGCTTGTTGGTACATACTTGTAAATATATCAGCTTGAACTTTAGAATTAAACTAGAACACAAAGAAAGAAAGGACAGTCAGCTGTGTGTCCTATCCTGTTCTTTCTTTCTTTGTGTTCTAGTTTAATTCTAAAGTTCAAGCTGATATATTTACAACCCAGAGGAAACAGCTACTTCCCACCACAATGTTTTCTATCAGGTTCGTGCACACATTGCCACTTTTGCAATTGCTTCTGAGGCTGGTTCCAAACAAAGTGAAAGGTCTTTCGGCTGCACCAGAAGTTAAAAGCAGCAAAAAGGATTCAACGACATGATATGGTAGCTTTTGAACTTGAGAACGGTTCACGTGTTGTTTAACGGCAGTAACTTTTTTTTTTTTTTTTTAAGGTGCGCAAGGTGGTGGCGTACTGTAAAGTTCCGAGAGAACACCCGCCTGCAAAGGACTGCCCATCCCTTTTTTCTGGATACATATCTGTAACAGAAAAATTCCGAAACATTGCCCACCCCCTGATTCCCGTTGGTCGTCACGCGATGTCGACGGGAATCGCATCAACCGCATAATTTGCGCACGTCCGACAAGCGAGTTTATAGCGGTTTCCCGCATTCTTGTCCGCAATCTGTGTGCGCGATATCGTCTTCCATAACATGCGAGTTGTTCCTGCTTGTATATTGCACCGTGAAATGCGAATCTGTTGCATCCGCAATCTGCGGTATCTGTTCCCGTGACATAAAATTTCTAGCAGATTCCTTCGCTGTTGTCCGCGATCTGCGCGCGCGATGTCGATTCCACGCTAGTTGGTCCCTCGTGTGTATTACGTCGTGAAATGCAATTCTGCTGCGTTCATGATCTACGGTATTTGTTCCCGTAACATACAAGTTTGTAGTGGATTCCCGCGTTTTTGTCTGCAATCTACGCGCGCAATATCGGTTTCCGTGACAGGCAACTTTGTAGCAGGTTTCCCCGTGTTTACTGCACCATAAAACTTGCATCTGCTGTGGCCGCAATTTGCAGTATTCGTTCCCGTGAGATGTGAGTTCTCTGTGGGTTTCCGCGGGTCCTTCACACTGGGAAACGAATCTGCTGTGTCCGCATCCCGTGGTATCCTTTTTTATGACACAGGAGTTCATAGTGAATTTCCACATGGTTATCGCATTGTGAAACGAGCCCATGATCCGCGGTATAAGTTCCTGCATCACATGGTTTGTGGCTGGTGCCAGGGGGTTTATCATTAATTTTTATAAAGTTTTTCTGTGGCATCAACAAAGATAGCCCACCCCATGTTTTCACCATTTATCTCTTCATTTTAGGTGGGTGTTCTTTCCCGTAGTTTCATAAAAGAGGCTCGTGATTGACGAAACTTATCTTGTCACGAGTGACGATGTGACAAAACAAAGAATAGCCGAAGAAACTGAAGCGTTAAATGGGGCAAACTTGGGCCCAAGACAAAAAGGAAACAAAAGGTAACAACAGAGCGTCACGGGCGTCGGAAGTCGGCGTAACAGCAGGATCGAACGCTGGGGTGAGACTTACTTTGGCTCGCCACACGAAGCCCCTTATGTGCACATATGGGCTTCTGGAATAATAGGCGAAGAAGGTTCGACGCATAGAATATTTGGACCTAAAATAAACAACAATGTTTTCGAATTCACTAGAATGCTACATTTCAGAAATAACAATAAGGCACGGCTGCTCCCAGGCATCGAACCCGGAGCCTCTGCGTGATAACCAAGTGCAGTAACCATTCGGCCACGCGCTCGCTCGGCAATGCGTGCAGCAATATATACTGACCGACGTAAGATCAACCTCACATGCACAATCTATCTGTGTGTGTCTCTCAGTCACTCTCCTTGTCGGTCTGTATGTGTGGGCACATACACATACAAGTTTTTGTTTGTTTCCTTCACATTCTGATATGCTTGCATTAGATGCCATGCATGATTGATGAAAGAAGTGAACGATAGAAACGAAGCTCACCTCCGATTAGCGCAGCAAAACACCACATTTTGCTCATGTTCAGCCTGTTACTACACTTTTTTATTTGCTTGATGTTTATTCTAAAATTAAAAACATAATAAATTAACATGGGCAACATCAGATTACAGACAAACAATAAAAAAATATATATTTTTACGGAAAAGGATATTTGTGAGAAAGGTGATCTTCTGGAAAATCATCTTAGTGAATTTGTATGGCTTAAATCACGATTCATATTATCTTGATTTTTATTTTGCACTCTGAACACAATGGATTTGTGGTAGATAGATTTCAGAATATCAATGCCCTGTCGATTTTGTGAAGAAATGTTATGGTTGCACCTTCTAGAGGCCTGGAAGGTTTCTCGTCGGAGGTCAGCCTGCAGGGTGATTGATGGATGTTAAATTTATTAACCCATTCACCACCATGCGCGCTGCCGGGCCGTCCGTACCGCATGTCTTTTCCCCTAAAAGAGGGCCACACTAGCCGTGACAGTTTTGCTTTTATAATCAGCTTTTACAGTAAAACTCAGTGCAGGAAACAAGAAAACATGTTTATTTACATGCTTAAGTGACTCGTTCAAGTCTATAAATCACTAGGCCCTCCCAGATTTTTCCTCGTATAAAAGATCTTAAAGCACTTTATCCTCGGTCGTCTAGACGTTGCACAACCAGTGAGCTCTTGTCGTGATTTGGACTCGGAACTGCTGTCGGACAAACAGCAGTCTGAAAACTCACTATCCTCACCAGACGTCCCGTCATCATTGCTGTCGAAGAGGACATTTATGATTTCATCGTCGGAAAGGCCACACTGGACACTGCCATCTTCTATTCTTCCCTAACCAGGCAGCGATCGAGCGGGAAAGACGACACACAAAAGAACAAGCTCAAACAAACACAGCGAACAGAACGACCTTTGGCATCTGTTGGTAATGAATATAACTACACAACCCCAAGTCTACATAGCGTGCCATATATGAATGGCTCTTCAAAACAGAAACTCATGCAGCCCGGTGCATCGCCGGCTTTGATAATCTGGCCCCTGACGGCATGCCCAGCGATTCGCTGGCTTTGGTTGCGAATGGGTTAAGGAAGGGGAGAGCAACTAGATGACCTTTTTAGGTCTGCCTCAGCCCTCGTGCAACATCACCCTCAACCTTTTAGCTTAAAGAACCGAGCACTCGTTTGTGCGCACTTCCAGCGCCACTGCTTCGCGCGCGAAAAGGCGCTGCAGTCTGCTGAACGTGTCTTGCTGTCAAACACCAGCTCCTCCACTTGTAGAGCTATGCACGTTTTGGAAGTGCCCTCTATAGTTCCTGCACCGAGCGTATAGTAATGCCATTTACGGTTGACTCTCAACAGTTTAAAGCTCTTGGGGACTGCGAAACATTTAAAATTAGAAGACTTCTAAGTAAAGAAATGTGGTGGAAGCATGCATTTGTTTTTATTCAGTGCTCATTAATAGAAATTGATTTTTTGCTTGCCTCTGCTGACAGAGACAAGCCACAGTACTGTGCTCTGCAAACTGCCTTTGTTATTTTGTCCGCATTTTCTTTGCCAAAGAAAAGGCACTCTATGATCC